ACAATCCTATTAACCATAGTTACACACCTCTCGGTATGTCGACTTTTTTCCCATACTTTGATCGATCTAAGGCAAATTGCTTTTCTCCCATTTCCAATTATTAACAATTCGTTCTGCGAATGCCGCAAATCAACTTTATCACTGGTCATTATTTAAACAATTATTGGGGGAACAATGGAACATCGAAGCGTACTTACGCTGTTCATGCCATATTGTTATCTTTTTACCAGTTGGAGTAATTTTCGTTTGAACTAGACATGTTCACTTGGAATTGGAATGGCATAATTTCTAATCTGGTTCAAGTATTTTTTATATGTGAGATGATTTAATTAAATATATGAACTATATGATGATATTTGTATTTGCAAACAATGGTTTCATGGAGTTACGCATTTGCGACTATTGCACGCAAGAGTAACGTGAAAACAATTGAGTTTTCAAACTAGTGAGATTTTTTAGCATAAAACACACAAGTTTCAATGGCTTGATATGTGTAAAAATAACACATTTTAATGGTCTTCAAACTATTTAGAGACGCGGAACATGCAATTGCAAATTTGGTTGACCTACTAAGAAAAGCTATTTAAATTTCTGCAAAAACATATAATAACTTTGAAGAAATTTCAATTAAGGATTTGTATATTATCTAAATCAAGAATCATTAGGTAATGAAACAAGGTTTAAATTTGAAGATGGAATTTGGTGATTAACATATTTAAATCGCTTTAAAAACAGTATACTTACACGATTTTTAGTGTAACCAATTTTAAATGTTTCAAAAGTGGCTTTTTGGTCTTCTCAATTGTTGCTGTATTAAAACTTCGTCGCGCAATAGTTTATTTTATTCTATCTAGTTGAGCTTTAGTGTCATTTTCCAAATGTAGCTTTAGCTATAATAGAACTGAAATATCAATCAATCAAGTTGATGTTGAAATAAGAAACGCTCCTTCTTTCCACATTTTCCTTCTCAATTTCCAAAAGTATTGATGAACAGTTTAAGTCACTCGATTTTCTCTAGTTCGCTTAAACTCCTTAAAACCGTCGCTCTCAGTCTTTCGTCTTTTTCCAATTCGATTCAAATGACTTTAGAGTCACGCAAAGTCGGTGTGAAAATGAATATTTGTATGTACTTTGACCATACGAGCAAAAATGTAAGTTTATTATATGATGACTGCACATATTTCATGTAATATATGTAGGAAAATTGCCCTTTTTGAGCATTTGTCTTGTTATAATACCCTGAATCCATAAACACAATTTATCAGTTACATTGTGCAAATCTTGGCCATCAACTTCACCCACACAATTCCTAATGTAATTTTCAATTAAATACCTCAATCAATTCACTAATAAACTTTCACGTCCAGTTTCGGATTAGACACGGTTTGCAAGCACTGTATTAAAATATACTTCAAGGGATTACCATTTATTACACTTCACACTTTAATAAACTCTTGCCAGCTCAGAACTGGAACCATAACTTTGAGTTTCCGACTCGTTTTCTGCATGTAATTACTCTCGACAGGTCTGAAGTTAAATGCGTTTTTTAACACGTATGGAGAATTAGTGGTGTTCAGTTGGTTCACATTGAGATGCAAGTAACTGTTCCAAGCTGAACCACAAGGTTCAAGAATTTTGCACTTGAACCTTGATGTCTTTGATTAAACAGGCTTAAATGTAAGCGAAAAAGGCGTTTAGATGCGTAGTTTTGGCCACCAGGAGTTCCTGATCTGAGGCCTCAATTTCGAGTTTTTTGGGACACTTGAAAGCGTCATTGACTCAATTTCTCCAGCAAGTATAAATGAAGAACTGGCTCTTATAAGGTTTACTTTTGCTTTTGAATCTTCGGGTATGTTTGATGCGTTTAAATGCTGGGGCGAAGACGGGTTTTCCAGTTAGTTTCAATGTTGCCTCAACATGTTCTGCTGGTTCTTCATTATGTTGATTAAAATGAGCTGCCATTAATGGGTAGTAAAGACAAACACGCTAATCGCAAACAACATTCTTCCCCCTAAAGCTTCCTCGCTAGTTGCTTGAAATATGATTGTTCTTGTAGCCTGAATAAAAGATGTAAGTTTATAGGAAACACTGAAGCAAAAAAGTTGAAGAAAAATTAAACAATAAATGGCAAATTGCTGTGCAATTCACTAAGAAAAAAGGAACGTCTGCATTATTATTTTTTACGGCGATTATGCCCTGTATATTTATAATAAATTGGCTTTGAAACAGAAGTAGAACTCATCATTATTTTCAAAAGCAGTTATAAGGCAGGTAGAGGGATTGATGGTCTCACATCGAAACATGCAATAATTCTTCTGCTAATTTTGAAGCAATTTGCCAAAGAAGAACACCTGTAGTCATCAAGAATTGCTTTAGCTTATTCTCCTAATTGGGATTGAAATAAATTAGTGCCTAATTATGAAGAGAAACAACAAATACAATTCTGTTGATTCTTTATATTTAAGAAACATTTATACAAAAAAAATCCGCCTTCAAATTTTTTCGTTCATAAAAAACATCTACCGTGATGATTAGGAGGCACATTAACAACGTTTAAAACGAATGGCCACATTTAAACGCATCGATATGCCCTGAAGAGCCGAAGATTGTCATTATTAATAAGGTCATGCATTCTGAACATAAAAAATATATAAAACTTGATAGGAAAAATAAAATACATTACGTTCTACGCTTCATTCAACGGCCGCCGACGAGTGATTGAGCTAACCGATAGGAAGAATTTCTGTTTGAATGCTGCCATGCGGAAAGATTGAATTTTGTAATAAATTTATGTTATTCACCCACGTTCAGTTTATTGTGAAATCAGATTTGCTACCGATGCAGTTAGGTTTTGATGAAATAAAACAGATGGTCTGGTACAAGGAAGATTCGGTTTCTGACCGGAAGCGAATTTGATGCTTATTAGCATCTTGTGTTTTCTGTTCTGTTAACTTTCAACTATGTCTGGTTTTTGGAGATTGTTTGCTTTTCTCATGTGACTCAACATTCAGCCAAAAAGTTGAGACAAACCAATGTTTTGTTGGAATATATTTACCATGAATACTAACTTAACTGTTTCATTGTTTCGCTTTTATTCTTACCTACTTATTTAAATACTCCCCTTAGCATTCAAAAGGTGCTAGCTGATATTCCTTTTGCGAGCTCATCCTGGCTAATATATCATTCGCGCCGATGAATAACAATGTTGATCGATTATTCATATCCTGAGGAGCATTTTCAATCATTTCTACAGTTAACCAACACTTCATGTTGAATATCAGTGGGGTTCCGATGGATGCGTAAAATTCAACTTTGGTCATCATTTTGCCTTTGTATCGGGATTTACATAATTCCCATCTCAATTTTAATCGGACGAAGTGAAATCGGATTAAAAAACGTATCTTCGAATCGAAGAAAAAGGAACAAAACTGATAATCCTGATGACGATGTAACAATTATGGGGCCGCTTGTTACCTTTGTTAGACGTTTGCCTGAGGAATTTTAATAGTCCATGGTTTACAACGTGCTTACCACTGGTAGTTTCAGATGAGATAAGAATATACAACAATAATTACAAACAGTTACTCGAGTTGGAGTGAATTAATGTAAATGTTGAAGTTGGAAGTGAAAAATGAATCCTTACTTTATCTTATTAGGTTTTAGTCCTAATACCTATAAGAAGTTTTTATTACCTATAATAAGATCCTCAACAATTCATTTTCCATCTGTAACAGTCGGTTCTCTTAATTAAATCACTTTAAGTGCAGTATCAGTACATTATAATGTAATTCGAAAGTTTAATTGATATTTGGGCGGAACTGGCGTGATCCCATTTCACAATACGATTAATCAAACATCACTGCGGGCCTAAGCAAGATAACTAAATTGATTTTCTAAAATCAATCTGAACATTTTGACGGTTTTCGACTGATAGATTTGACTATAACTGATAAGTCATGGGGAGATTTGAATTATCTGAATGATGCATTTACATTTTTAATAGCTAATCTCTATCGAACATTTTTATCGTTCGTTTTTTGTTGTTGTCGATTAGGTTTTGGAAATGCTGGGACAAAGTTATTAGACCCAGAAAAACTTTTTTTACCGCCTGTTCTACATCTTTATTGAGTTTTCAATTCGGGAATTCTAAAACATTTTGAATGGAGGAGCGCAAGGTTTTATTCAAAAAGAACTCATCTCTATCCCAACATGTTTTGGATCAATCCACATATTGGAGGCTCCATTCTCCGAAGTTTCACTTTTTTGAGTATTGACTTGTTTTGTCTAAGCCTATTTTTATATCCAGGAATGCCGATAAATCAGTTCCTTTCAGCAAAGTTTCCGCTCTCGGCACCAGTTTACGAAGAGCAGATTAGCAAATTTTTCCTTTCTGTTTTGTGTATCATATTGGTTAAGATGAAACAATTTGAACGGTTTTAAGGTGAAACGATTTTAAGATTGGTTTTGCTCAACGTGTTTTACATTTTTGGTTCATTGCTTTCGAAATGCATTTTTTCCACTGAAGTTTCTGTAGACGTGAAGGCGAATAATTCAATTTTTATGATGGAGAATTATCGACACAAAATCTGGCACCAGCTTGGTCATAATCAACCTTCCGTCTATTTGAATTTGCTAAACCCTGTAGGCCCAAACAATGTTTACGCACCAAATTTCTAACAAAATACAATAAATAAAAAATTTTTTTTATAACATTTTCTTCCATTAATTAATTAATTAAACTTTAATCCAACCGTGCATTTTTATCAATTTTTTTTGGATTAATTAAATTTTTATACGTCCTATCCATGAATTCTATGAATTCTTGTCCACTTTTCTCGAGATTATACAAGAGCTTACCGTTACATCTGAAGTCCAGATAAGGTGAATCGTTTATCTTCATCTTACCACGCGCGCAATGAAAATTTAAGTATCCCATAACCGTGGCGCTAATAAACATTTTAAATATTTATAAAATACTAACGAATTTCTTTTTTTTTCAGGTAAGGAGGACACTCGACGAATTTCAAGCAGGTTCTTCCCACATATTTGAGACTAAATGTATGCCCAAATGTGCACAAGGAAGTTGGAAGTTAGTTCGTAAAGTAGACAATTTTTTTTAACAAGAATCACATTTTAATTTCTAGTTTATTTTAATTAAATATTTACCTAAACTTATCTTGTTCACTATTTGGCTTTGCTTCTTTATTTTATGTGTTTTTTATACTAACTGCTATAATTTATTATTCATTATTACATTGAGCGTATTTTCACTTGTATTTACTCGAACAAGCAAGAACGGTTGTTCGACTGCTATGAAATGAATAACGAGTTCAGTTTGGAAGTATTTAAACCGTTTAATTACTCCCGAACCCCTTAAAAGGACTTATGTTCTTTTTATTTATTTATTTGACTGGCTTTTTATTTTATTTATGAAACGTTGACGGAGTCGATTAGGTCGGCGCATAATGAAGCACTTTATTGGTTTATTTACTTTTTCTTGTTGATAACAGGCTTTTATGGGAGGTAAAATACTCTAATCGACTCGATTTATGCAATTAGAGGTTTTCCGAAGTGTCTTTTATGGTGAATTCTGGACGGTTTCTAGTTCTTGTGGGTAGATGACTTGAAATTGGTTAAATTATTCTCTATGCTGGTGTTTCAAGGAATTTAAATTCGCTTTGAACTGACCAATTTAGATAATAGAAAAGGCCAAGTTAGGTGCAGATTGGCTAGGGGAATAATTTACGATTATTTACTAACAGGTGTAATAACGCAATTTAAACAATATATAAAAAAGCAAATAGTAAATGTTACATAAATGCAGGAGATTTGATTATTGTTGGAGGAAGTGGCTTGATGTGTATTTTTTCGGGAAATAGGTTTAGTACTCTGTACTTTAAGTGTTTTAATAGTTTAAATCAATAAATATATTTACGATTAAACTCGTTTTTCAAGCAAATGAATGCAACGTTCATTTTCAAGTAAACGGTTTCCAAAGCAATAACGCACTAATTTAAAACAAATATGCAATAAAATATTTGGCTTTTTGTTGCTTCCTATTTTTCTGTAGTCACCGCACATATTTTGTTGTTTTTTACTGTCTGTGTCTTATTCTTCACGCCGCTCTTTCACTTTGTTCCCTACCCTCGGTATATGTTTTATTTGGTATTTGGCAGTTTAAACAACCATTTCTGTCTTGATTTGCCTGTCTGTTTTAATCAACAATTTATTTTTTATTTTTGGAGTTTTTTGCTCGATTGTATGTCTCGCAGATTTTTACACCGCTTTTAATAATGTTTTGGTGTTAACTAAATAGTGTAGGTTTTAGTGATTTTTTATCTTCTGCATGTGCTTCTAAAAGTTTTTAAATCATATTTATTAGCAAATTTATGATCATTAGCAATTAATCCGCTTTCTAAGGCAATAACTATCCGTTGAGCTGCCAGATAATTTATGTGATTTCCTCGGTTGCAAAATAATACCAAGCAGTGTAGACCGTTTAAGATAGTTTCTTCGATAAGTGACATAATGGACGATAATGTAAATTTATTGTTATTTGTGTGCAACTCATAAATTACCGTTACACTCGTAGACTGAAGTAAGATTTCCAGATATAAAAATATAGGTGAAATACTTAGGTCTTGGTTGGTTAAAGCATTCCTAGCATCAGATGCAAAATCTTCAAATAACGATGCAGAAGGAGCGCAATTAAGCCAGCACTGGGAACTTCTTGGGCGAACATTCACATTTTACCAGTGGTGCTTGTTAGCTTAAAATGTTTGCTCACACTCTAAGTCAACTGCGAAGTGTTTATCTTCCATATATTTTCCTATATTATCACCCGCAGCACAAATAGGGCCCCTGTGAGCGCACCAAGTTTATCAGCCAGTTCATACATGCTCTCGTATCTTTGTGATAATTTCACTTAAAATTCTACAAAATTGAAAAAAGCATTGGTGGTTAAATTATCGTAGATTTATTTAGAAGTTATCAGCAAGGATAAAGTCGAATTTGCAACACGTTACTAATTAGAGTATTAACTAAAAGTTTCATTGCACTTTGTTATCTGTTTACAGACACATAACCATAACAGGCAAGTAATAAACTTTATTTAATTACTTGCTTTATAACATTGCTCTTAACAATCGTTTTACGATTTTCCACCCAGAAATTTTCGGCAATACAGCTGATTAGTTTGTGACTAATTTTATTGAGGAATAAATTTGAATCCAGTGTAAGGGACGTAGTTAACGACTGTGGCGCGATGTAAATCTTCAGTTTTATAGAGAGCAGGACATTGGGACAATTTTACATGTAGAGCAACCATAAAAGGACAATAAAATGGTCGTTAGGGCATTTGGTGTCTAATAATAACGTGCTTTATCTTCTTTATTATGCCGTTTCAAGAAATTGAGTGCAAAGCGCCCACAAAGTAATAAAAAAACACACTACTAAATGTATGCTGCTGGTAAAAATAGGAAAACTTTCCTCAGATTCATTCTGTCTGATTCCAAAATTAAAACATATTTCATGCTAAATCCAGAAAGGGTTGGGCACTACTTTAAGGGTTATTGCCTCGTGCAAAATCGCTTCTTGCACGCACAGAAATCGGGAGTGGTGATTAGCGACTGCATTTCTTCGGGTAAAATGACACTGAAGGTGCGGTTTTGCCACTGTCCAAACTCAAACAGAATTAAGAAACTGTCCATCAAGCAACCAACTGAAGGGGAAATGCACGACAATCTTATTAGGTACATGGAATGATGAATTAATAGAGGAAATTTGATATTCGTATATTTTCAGTACCTACTTGGCTGATCTGGGTTGTTTTCTGTTAAAGTGGGGTTTTAAACGTTTTAAGTGTGCGTTTTCAGCAATTTATTAGGAAGCGACAAAACTTTTGTTCTTTGCTCTTGTAAGTTAGATTTATTTACTTTTATGGCTTTTTCGATTTCGACATTTGAAGCTTTACAGTAAGATTTTTAAAATGTTCTGCTAACAGATAGGTATAATGTTATATTGGTTTTATGTATTCAATTTATAACAGAAAACGTGCAAGATTTTTATTAATAATAATAATAATTTATTTATGAACGAAACTGAAGGGCCTCGATTTTCAGTCTTTAAAGTTTATCAAAGGAGTTCGACATTCGCGGTTTTTCGGGGTGGTCTGAAGATGCAAGCCACTCGTGCTTGCGAAACGATAAATAGGAATTATTTTTTACAACCTAAAAAAAATTCCCGAAAAACTTAGCAGTTTCTTCAAAGTTTACTTTTAAACCTGAATATCACATAGAGTTGTTGGATTCTCTGTATATTTAAGTTTGATCTCCAACTTATCCTCTTATGTATTGATTATTCCCACACACTGAAATTCTGCAGAACAAATAAATTTGTTAATCTTGTTTTTTTGTTTCTGCCTATTATTTTGTTCTGAATTTAAACTTATTTTGGCGGCTAAGAGTTTCAGTTTTTCCGCTGTATGAAATTTCTTTGTTTTAACCAATAGTTAGGTCTATTTAGTTTAGCAGTCTTTCTAATTATTCTAGATCATACAGTATAATTTTGCTCTGTAATTTTGTTGTGTTTTTAAATCGAAAATCACGGTAATGCATTGAATGCGGTCTGGTTAATTTGCAATTAATTGTATTAATTCTAAAATAATTGAGTTTTAAATCCCAATTACGTAAAATAATCCTTTGAACTTTCCCCAATCGATCAACTAGTAATTTGACTTGAAATATGCATTAATGAGTGAACATTTGACAAATTTTAATCTAATTCGTCAAGACATCAGAATGCAATTGATTGCAAATAGTTTAATAAGCTGCCAATTTTCCAGTCATGAACTCGTAAAAACGTGCAATGTAAACAGTCAGCAGGCAGAAAATAAAGTTATAATCTGACGAGGCGCATGATGTAAATTGATTTCTCATTAGCATACCATAATTAAGGAAAAAATGGCTCTCTTACCAGTTTCACTCCCACATTTGGTCTGGCATGAGCATTAAGAGAACTGGTACCGTATAAATTAGAGCGATAGATAGCTGGTTAATGCAGTCGTTTTATCAATTAAACGCCACAATTTACTCATTTTCATTAGTTATACATGTTTTAAGAATTGGTTATTTAAATTATAAATAAGTGTCTTACTTTTTTGTTGGTGTCTAACTTTCAACGATTTTTCTTTCGGCTTTCGACGCTTGCCTAATTTTAATATTTAAGTCTATCCTGCTAAAACTCCAATTTGCTTCTTCTAGCTCTCTCCTTCTTCTGGTTTGATGTTAATATAAGAATCCTTATTGAATGTCCAGCCTTGTCAAGTCTATAGACCAACATCATTAGGATCAATGATACATGGCGCAACGAGTCTGATTATTATTTTTTTATTAATAAATGTGCATACTAGCCAGGCTGACAACATGTTTGATTAGTTAAATTAGGAGGCTTAATTGGGACTGACAACAAGTCTCTTGTGTGCTGAAATTGTGCTTATTTAAATAATGTCTAGAATAATTAGAAGCGCTCGTATTATTGCTGTTAATGTGAAGTTTCATTCGTTTAATGTTTTATTGTTTCATTGGTTCATTGCTTTTTGTCGCTTTTCACATTTTTCTGACTACTTGTGATGGAGTCAGTTTTGAAGCTATTTTCTCCTGGAAGTTTGGTGCATTCGTTCACTATTTTCAATGTTTACAGGTTATTAAAGTATGATTACTCTGTTGCTTTATACATTCATTTTTATACCAATTTTTCAATCTCGATCGACGTGATGACGTGTCTGATATTGAAATTTCGCTTTCTGGGTCAAAACTCCTCGAATTTCCTCACTCTTGTTGTTGTGACTGAATCGAATTTTCAATTCTCTATCCAACGATGCCAAAACGAATTCTGTGGCTCAAATGCGAATTGAGAAATTTCGAAAAAACCAACGTTATGTTTGAGTCGATTTTGCAACTCTGTTACCGGAGATCTGGCATAGAATAGCATAATAATATCATAACTGTGTTTAACAAATCGTTTCCATTTAAATCTATGCAAACTGAAAATCTCTAAACGTCCAAGTAGACTGGGGATTTCTAAAAGGTATTTTTATGGGCGCCCAACACGACACATACCACAAACCCACGTATATTCTAAGCTGGGGTACCAACGGTATACCTAAAATGCCGAGTATACCGGGCGTTGCTTACAAAGAAAACAATAAATTCTAATTGTCATTTTCACAGCAAGGTGTCGAATCGTTTAATGGGGTTGGAAAAAGTGGGCATCGGCCGAAAAATTCCCGATTTTATTCAGTGCCGTAGATTCCCTTTTTTTTTCAATGTTCTTAATCCCACAAGAACAAACCCTGAAATTTCCCATGGCTATCAAATTACATGGGTTTTTAATTTGCTTGTTTACGCGTCATTCGACTCATTGTTTTTTAACTTACGTGCTTCATATGGGCGGGACAAACCCTCAATTCTATTTTTTTCCAACTTTTTTGCTTAGCCTCATTAGTCAAATAATTGATACCTACCTTGCATTTATTTAGATCTGCACCCAAACAATTTTTTCAAGCAAACATGCTCACATACGCTACTGAACAAGGAAATATGAATTAATTCCTGTTTAGTATTTGAATAAAAAAAACACTTTTCCTCATATATATGCATATGTAGTTGATATGTTTCTAGAGCGTCAGATTTTAGGAACACGCATGTTTGCATAAATGTTTATTTTATTTGTTAACACTCGGCGAAAGAGGTCACTTCATATTTTAATGAGCTGTCTTTGTACATGAGAATGGTAATGTTACGACGTGTAACTAAAGAAGGGCCGCTATGGGAAAATTTCTTCAAGTTTGAGGCTTTCATTTGCACAAATTTGTAATGAGGCTAATTAAAAACGTAAAAATCCAATTAATTTAATTTTTCTTAGTTATTGGTAAAAATAGGCC